GCGAGCACGCCGTCTCCGTTTGCGTTGAGCTGCAGCGACGTGAACGACCCCGCGGCGGCTTCGTCGCCTTCCGCGTCGCCGTCGTGCGCGCCGCCCGTCATCAGCCCGCTCTCTTCCTTCAAACTGTTTCCGCGCGCGATCGGCTTCGCGCTGCCGACGCGCCATATCCTCACGATGCCTTTATCGCCCGCGGTGACGAAGTACGCGGCGTCGGGTTTCGCGTCGGCGGCGGCGGCGCCGATCATCCCTCTCGCCCTCCGCGGGTCCAGCGCCGCCATGCCCTCGCACGCCTCGTGCGTAGGCGTCGTCGACAGGCGTTTGTACGTCTTCGAGCACCACTCGTGCACGACGCGGTCTCTCGCCGCGGAGAGGAGCTTCTCCGAGCCGTTCTTCGACGCGGTCGGGACGGCGAGGGAGGTGACGGAGGACGTGTGCTCGCGCATGCTTCCGACGCACTCGCGCGTCCGAAGATCCCACGCGCGGACTTCGCCGTCGTGCGCGCCAGTGTAGAGGACGAGACGCTTCGCGTCCGGGTGGAACAGCGCGGTCGTCACCATCGCCGCGTGCCCTCTGAACGCGTGCGTGCAGAAGCCTTTCGCGACGTCCCACACGCGCGCGGTGCGATCCGCGGAGCACGTCGCGAGGAGCGTTCCGGAGGGATCGACGGTCATGTGAAGGATCGGCGTGTTGTGCGCCTTGAACGTCCGAACGCTCTCGCCCGTCGTCGCGTCCCACACCGAGCATCGCATCGAGCGCGACGCGGAGAAGATCTTCTTTCCGTCCCTGCTCCACGCGAGCGCGGTGATCGGCTCCGTGTCCCCGGGGAGGTTGTGCAGCGTCTTCCCCGTCGAGACCTCGACGACGTTAATCGCTTCCTGGCACGCGGCGGCGACGAGCTTCCCATCGCGCGACAGCGCGATCGGGCCGCCGGTGTGGAACACCTCCAGGCTCGACGCCGGCGCGTACGTCTTCCTTTGGTCCGGCGGCGGCATCGTGCGCGTCCGCAGCGCCGTTCGAACTGTGTGTGTACTGCCCGTCGGCGCGCCGCCGCCGTCCGAGAAAAAGTCGGCGGCTCGCTGAAAGCGAACTTTTCTCACCGCACCGCGCTGCTGCGCTGGCGAACTTCAGAACGACGAGCACGCGCGCGCACGCGCGGCGCCGCCGACCCCCCCCGCGCGCGCGATACTCGCGATACTCGCGCTCGCGCGTTCGCGATGACTCCCACGGCGCGCCGCCCGTCCCCTCGTGCGCCTCTCCCGCGCGTGCTCTCCGCGCTCGCGACGCTCCTCCTCTTCGCCTCCGCCGCGCAGGTTTCTTTCGCGACTTCCGCGACGTCTTCGTTCGTCGCGCGCGAGGGCGGGAGGTTCGTCCTCGACGGCGCCACCTTCCACGTCGCGGGCGCGAACTGCTACTACCTCGCGTACTCCTCCGGCGCGGACGCGGGGTCGTACGAGCACGACTGGGTCAAGGAGGTGCTGGACGAAGCGCAGAGCCTCGAGCTCAACGTCCTGCGCGTCTGGAGCTTTCAGGACGAGTGGTGGCAGCGCGACCGCGCGCTGCAGCCCGCGCCGGGGCAGTACAACGAGCGCTTCCTCGTCGCGCTCGACGGCCTCATCGTCGAGTCCGCGCGAAGGGACATCCGGCTTCTGCTGTGCCTCACGAACTACTGGGAAGACTACGGTGCGACGCGGCGCGACGCGGCGGCGGCGCGACGCACAGCTGTGTTTTTTTCTCTTCGTTCGTTCGCGCCCGCGCGGAGACCCGCCGACCCGACCCGCGCTTCCCTCCCTCTCACCGCTCAGGCGGCGCGATCGCGTACGTGAACTGGGCGCACGCCGCGGGTGAGCGTCGCGCGGACGGCCACTCCCTCGACCGCCAAGAAGACTTCTTCACGTCCCAACTCTGCCGCGCGTGGTTCAAGCGGTTCGCGACGCACGTCCTCTCGCGCGTGAACACGATCACCGGGGTGGCGTACAGAGACGACCCTGCGATATTCGCGTGGGAGCTCATCAACGAGCCCCGAGTCCTCGGCGACGCGTCCGGGGATATCCTCCAGAACTGGATCGACGAGATGTCCGCGCACGCGAAGAGCGTTGACGCGAACCACATGCTCACGGTCGGCATCGAGGGCTTCTGGGGGAAGACGTCGCCGCACCGCGTCGGGGAAAACCCCATCGACGGCGCGGAGCGCATGGGGTGCGACTTCGTGAGAAACTTTCTAAACCCGAACCTCGACTTCGCGTCCGTGCACGTGTGGCCGGACCTGTGGCTGTACTGCGACGACGACTGCAAGTTCGAGTTCATGAAGACGTGGATCGCCGGGCACCTCGAGGAGTCTCGCGACACGTTCGACAAGCCCGTTCTCCTCGAGGAGTTCGGGAAGTACCGGCCGTTAGATTCGCGCGATCGGTTCTTCCGCGAGGCGTTCCGCATGTCGCTCCCGCCATCCACGCCCGTGCCGTCGCACGCGGGCGGCGTGTTGTTCTGGCACATGGACCCGAGCGGGTACCCGCACGAGACGGACGGCTTCTCCGTCCAGCTCCCGCGGGATATCGGTGAGACTGCTTCCCATACGACCCCGTTCGCGTGGTGCACGCCGTTCCTTAAGGACTTTTCCCGTCGTCACTCTTCACCCGCGCTTCCCTTTCAACGTTTGACCGGTAAGCCGTTCGACTGACCGATCGCTTCACCCACGCAGGCACGGGGGAGATCATCAAAGGCGCGTCCGCGTCCGTCCGCGAGCTTCGTAGGAACGCGAACGTCGCGGGAGGCGGCGGTCGAGAGCGTCACGCGACGTTCCCGGAGCGCCCGAGGGCGGATCCGGAGGCGTACCGCGCCGCGCCCGTCGCGGACTCGACCGACAAGAGCGCGAGCGCGAGCGCGAGCGCGAACGCGAACGCGAACGCGAACGCGCGGCCGACCCCGCCGGAGGCTGCGGGGTACCGGTTTCCGAGCTTCCGTCGCCCGGTGCAGACGTACGCCGCGACGGAGACGGTGGAACGCCGCGGCGACGACGAAGGCGACGCCGTCGGGCCCGCCGGCGCTCCTCCCGGGCCCACGAGGATGAACGACGAGTCCCCGTGCAAGCCGCCGCCTCCGCCGCCGTGAACGATTTCTTTTACGCGTTTAGTTCTTTCGCTTACCGTGTGTGCTCGACGCCGTCGCCGCCTATCATATGATGATGCGTACGTTATGAGTGATGATTGATGATTTTACGAATGATGCGATGGTTTACGACGAACATCGATGAAAGCGTATTAACAACGAGACCACGAGCGCGCGCTCGACGCGCGCGTCGCTCACGCGACTTTCGAACCCGGAGGAAACATCGACCCCGCGCGTCCGCCGCCTCGCCCGCCGCCTCGCCCGCCGCCTCTCCCGCCGCCGCCTCTCCCGCCAGGCCCCTTCGCGCCCGGCTTGACCTTCCTCCCGCCAAACTTATGAAAGTGGTCCGTCTCCATCCCTCGCGCGCCAGCCATGAAGCTCCCGCGGGCGTTTGACTGCCTCGCGACGGCGGCGCCGCGGCGATTCGCCGCGGCGGCTTTCTTCCCGGTCCCGCGTCCGCCCGCGCGCTGCTGCCCGGGCTTCTGCGTTCTTCCCCCGCCGCCGCCGGTGCTGAACGTCATCTGCAACGTCCCGCGAGGCACGAACGGGGACGTCGGGGACAGCGACAGCGAGGGCGCTTTCTTCGTCGGCGTCTTCTTCGTCGGGGTCTTCGCGCCGCCAAACTTTTTTCCCTTGGCGACGACCACCTTGACCTTCTTCCCGACTTTTTGTCCACCCTTGGGTCCCGGGGTTTTCTTCCCGCCGGGGCGAGACAGCTGCGCTTTCTTCGCTTTCGCGTTCGCGAGCGTCTGCGCTTTTTCGCTCATGCCGCGCTTCTTCGCGAGGACGGCGGCGCGTTTATCCGACGACTTCGCCGCGACGGCTTTGATCTTCGCCTTCTTCGGCGCTTTCTTCGCCGGCGTCGTCGCGCCTTTCTTCGGCGCCTTCTTCGGCGCCTTCTTCGGGACCTTCTTCGGGGCCTTCTTAGGCTGCGGGGAGCGGGGCGAGCGGAGCGGCGGGGAGGCGGGAGGAGGGCGGCGTCAGGGAAGCGTTCGATCGAACGCGTAACAACGCGGAATAATTCGTTCTCCGGACGAATTGAATGAATGAACTGAATTCTCCCGAGCGCGAGGACGAACGCGTCGCGCGACGCGATCGAATCGCGCGACGCGGAGGCAGGGGACGCGACGTGAACGCACCAGTGCCTTCTTCTTCGCGGCTCTCTGCTCCTTCTTCCCCTGTAGCGCGGCGAAGGATAGACGAGGAGGGAGGCGGACGTCAGAATTCGGTCGGATCGGAACGCGCGCCGCGAGAGGACGGGACCACGGGACGACGACGACGATTCGGGGAACGGAGACGCGTCGGACGCGGACGCGCCTTCTTGATGAGGTCGTCCAGCGAGACGTCCATCTTCGTGGCGGCGCCCATGGTGAACTCCATGGCACCGAGTCCGGCGAGCGACATCGTTGTTGAGCGAGTGAGGCGTGGGCGTGCGAGGCGCGCGAGAGGAATGCGCACGTCGTCATCAGGTTTCCTCGTCGGGCCCGGTGCCGAAAAATTGGCAGTCCAGACATAGACACTGCCTGAACTGCGCAAATCAACAACATCAACGACGCCTACGCTACGTTCTTTACACGCCGACGACGACGCCTCCCGCTCACTTCCTCACCGGGTTCGCGCGTATCGCCGCCGCGCACGTCTCGATCGTCTCCCGCCGCTTACACACGCAGAACCGAACGTAATTATTCGGCGGCGCGGCCGCGGCGTCTTCTCCGTCACCCGCGCCCTTCCCGCCGCCGCTCGCGTCGCCGTCGTCGTCGTGGTAAAACACGTCCAGCGGCACCGCGGCGATCTTCGCCTCGGTCGCGAGCTTCGTACAGTACTCCACGGACGTCAACCCTAACGGCGAGACGTCGACGACGAGGAAGTACCCGCCGCTGGGCTCGATCGGGACGCACCCGACGTCGGTCAACGCCGCGGCGAGGAGCGTCGCGTTTCGCGCCATCGTCGCGGCGGCGGCGTCCGCCGACACCGCCCCCTTCGCGTCTTCGGAGATGACGTCCAAAGCCGCGGCGACGCCGAGCTGCAGCGGCGTCGGCGCGCAGTACGTCGTGTACGAGTGCATCGTCTTGCACGCGGCGATCAGCGCGGGAGGACCGGCGAGCCATCCGACGCGCCAGCCCGTCAGCGCGAGAAGTTTCGACGACGTGCCGACGGTGATCGTCCGTTCGGCCATCCCTTCCACGTCCATCATCCGGTGAAACGGCTCTACTTCAGCCGTTTCACCCACCGATGTGGCATCGTCGCCACCGCCGCCGCCGCCGACACCGAACGTGCACCGCTCGTAGACCTCGTCCGCGAGCACCGCGACGTCAAACTCCTGGCACAGCCGAGCGACGAGCTCGACGTCTTTCCTCGAGCTCACCGCGCCCGTGGGATTGTGCGGCGAGTTGTGCACGAACAACTTCGTCTTCCCTCTCCCTTCCTCGAACGCCCTCCTGAGCGCGTCCTCGTCCAGCGCGAATCGCAGCCGCTCGGTTCCGGTTCCGGTCTCGTCGTCGTTCGAGTTCGAGTTCGATCGCGTCGGCTTCATTCGGACGGTTCGCGCGACGGCGCCGCAGAGCTTCGCGTGAGAGAGGTACCACGGAAAGAAGGGCTCCAGAAAGATCACCTCGTCCCCCGGGTCCAGCAGCGCGCGCATCGCGACGTAGCACGCCTCCGTGCCCGAGGACGTCACGAGAACGTCGCTCGGCGACGACCCGGTGGCTTCGTAATACCGCTTCAGCGCGGTCACGAGCTCCGGTCGCCCGGAGATGACGGAGTACTGATTCGCGCGCGGGTCGTCGTCGGCCGCGATGACCGCCGCCGCGGCGTCTCGCGCGACGTCCGACGCGCCAAAGTCCGGCCACCCCTGGCCGAGGTCGAGGACCCCGGGCTCCGCCGCGAGCGCGGTGATCTGCGCCCACACCTGCGCCGCGCCCTGGTTCGCCTGCTGCGCCTTCGCGGCGGAGGAGACGAACCGCGTCGGATCGGTCGACGACGCGTCGGACGACGACGAGGTGGACGGCGCCATCGCGGTCGTCGCGACGGCGCGGCGATGACGATCGCTCGCGGCGCGGTCCTCGCGGCGAACCCGCCGCGGGCGCGACGACGCGGGCGCGACGGGCCGGGCGAGAGCCGGCCGCATACAGCTGTGACGACGGCAGCTGTCTGGTGACGACGCGTTTTAACAATCGACGCGGTCCTTCTTCCTTTCTTCGGCGTCGTTGCCAGCACAGCAGCTGGGAGTCTCCGCGAGATCCTATCCAGTCCGCGCCGCGCGGCCCCACGCGTCATGGCGAGCGTCATCGCGCGCGCGTCGCCGCCGGCGTTCACGCGCGGCGCGACTTCCGCCGCGTCGTCGCGACGCGAGGAGGAGGCGACCTCGCGCGCGACGCCGTCCGCGGCGCGTCCGCGTCGTCGTCCCGCGGCGACGGTCGCGACGAGGGCGTCGTCGTCGTCGTCGTCGTCGTCTTCCGACGATCGCGGTGCCGACACCCCGCCGTCGTCGTCGCCGCCGCCGTTCATCCACCGCGCGGGGTCCGCGCTCGTCGCCGCGACGCTGTCGATCGCGCTCGCGTCCGCCCCCGCCGCGCGCGCGGGCGTGTTCGACGTCGTCGCGAGGGAGGACAAGGACCCGATCGAGCCCTTCAGCCTATTCGGCACCGTGTACAAAAAGTACGTCGTCGAGGTCTTCGACGAGAGCGGTCGGCAGATCATCGGACGGAAGAAAGGGTTCACCGCGGAGGCGTGCGTGGACGTCGTCTCCGAGAGGATGCAGCGGTTTCGAGTGCCCGGCGAGGGCGGGAGCATCGCCCCGGGCGGGCCCACGAGCGCGGCCGCCGCCGCCGCGGGCGGCGGCGGCGGCGGCGGCGGCGGCGGCGGCGGCGGCGGCGGCGGCGGCGGCGGCGGCGGCGGCGGCGCGAGCGATCCGGTCGCTCGAGGACGGTTTTGCGAGACGAGGGAAGTGATGGGGAAGGTCGAGAAGACCGATGACATGCTCCCGGCGTGCCTCCCGGCGTGCCGAAGCGCGTGTTTCAAGGCTGTGGACAAGTACGAGAGAGACATGCGGAAGAACACCGGGTTGGGGTTCAGCGAGAAGGACGAAGTGCGCGTGAAAGGGACGTGCGCGGCGCGGTGCGCGAAGGAGTGCCAAAAGAGCGGCAAAGCGTACGATTTCATCATCCCTTTCCGTTTGTGACGTAGAGAGGGGTGGATATGATACCTCATCGCGTACCTTAGTCGGTTGCTAATGTTATTACCACGAAATTGTGTGTTGCTAACCTACGCTGCCGCCGCCGCCGCCGCGTCCTTCGCGTCCGCCGCGGCTACTTCAAACCGCGCCCTGCTGACGGCGTCGATTTCTTTCCACTTCGCGCCGAGAAGCTTCATCTGTCCGGGGCCGCTCAACCCCGGCGGCAAGTTCGCGCGCTCCTCGGCGCAGAACAGCACGTACGCGGACGGCGTGCGCGTCGACTTTTTCTTCTCTCTCTTCGCCGCGGCCGCGTCGTCCGCCGGCATCGCGGCCTTCGCGTCCCTGGCCTCGCGCTCGTACCTGGAGCGCTCGTCGTCGCCGAGCGCCTTCCATCCGGCGCCTAAAATCTTCGCCTGTTCCGGCGCTCGTAACCCGGGTTCGAGCGTCGGTCGCTTCTCCGCGGAGTACAGGAAGAACGCCGACGGCGCGCGCGTTCGCTTCGGTTTCGGTTCCGGTTTCGGTTTCGGCGTCGCCGCCGCTTTCGTTTTGGATGTTTTCCCCTTCGTCGCGGAAGCGCTCGCGACCTCTTTGTCTTTCTTCGCGCGTCCTCGGAACCCCCTTCCCGTCCTCGGGTTGTTCTTCCGTTCGGTGATGAGCTCGACCGCGACGTCGAGGGGTATCGGCGCGAACCGCGCGAGGAAGACCGCGTCGCGCTCCTCCGACGTCGTCGTCTTCGTCGGCGACGCCCTTTCGAGACCTAAGCCGTCGAGCTTCGCGCTCTCGAGCTCCTCCGCGTCCATCTCGCCCTCCTCCTCTTCCTCTTCATCCGCGTCCGCGTGCTCGAACGCGAAGTCGTCGATCTTGTCTTCGTACGGCTCGTCCATCATCGCGGCCGCTCTCGCGTCGTCCCTGACGCGTTTTAACGTCTTCGCGGGAATGTGCGCGTTTACGTCTCCGTGATTGACGTACCACCCGTACGGCCCAATTTTCATCGTGACGTCTCCCCCTTCCGTGGGGTGAACCCCGAGCGTCATCGGGTACTTCAAAAGCGCGAGCGCGACGTTCAGGGTCAGCTTATCCGCCGTCACCTCCGGGACGTTCTGGAGACCGAACGTCCGCGGCGTCCCCTCGTTCGCCGTCGGATCGAGTTGCACGTACGGTCCGTACGGTCCGCGACGAACGCTCACGGTTCGCGACGTCTCCGGGTCGACGCCGATCTCGCCGTCCGAGAGCCACGGATCCGTCCTCATCGATTCGGCGTCGTCGCCGTTCGTCGTCGATATCGGCCGCGCGTACGCGCACTTCGTGTCGGTGTTGTAGTTGCTGCAGCCGATGAAACCGCCGTTTTTGGACAGTTTCAAACCTAAACGGCCGTCCACGCACGCGGGGCATCTTCTCGACGCTCGCAGCGTCGCGGGGTCGTAGTCTGGGGACTTCCACGCGTCGCCGGCGCGCTTGGGCGCAGCCGCGTCGCCCTCCGATCGCGGCGGCTCCGCCGTCGCCGCGATCGCGTCCAAGCGCGCCTTCGTCTCGCTCTCGTCGTCCCCGAAGAAATGCGCGCCGAGCGTCGCGTCGAGCACGTCCACCACGAGCGACGTGCGAATGTTCTGCAACCCCTGAACGTCGCCGTGGAACGGCTTCCAAAACTTCGACATGACGTCCTTCCACTCCGCGTCCCCGGACGCGATGTCGTCGAGCTTATCCTCCAAACCCGCGGTAAAGCCGTAGTCCACGTACTCGTCGAAGAAGTGCGTCAGGAAAGAGCTCACCATCCGCCCGCGCGTCTCCGGGATCAGCGGCCCTTTCCCGCCGCCGCCGACGACGTACCCTCTCTTCAACATCACCTTTACTATCGACGCGTACGTCGAAGGCCTGCCGATGCCCTTCTCTTCCATCGCTCGCACGAGCGCGCCCTCGGTGTATCTCGCGGGAGGTTGCGTCCAGTGCTGCAGCGCGGTTATCCCCGCGGACGTGTCCACGGAAGACAGCGTCTCGGAGACGTCGACGGCGTCCTCGTCGTCGGCTTGGTCGGATTTTTTTTTCGCGAGCCCGCCTCGCTTCGCGTCCTTGTCGCGCTCGATCACGCGCACGGACTGCGGCGCGCGCAGGTTGATCGTATCCCCGGGCTTGAGCTCCGGGAGCCACGCGTCGCGCTTGTCGCGGTCGTCGTCGCCGGACGTTCGACCGCCGTGGGCGTACGCGGCTAGGAACCCGGAGAACAGCAGACGCGACCCGTTCGCTTTCAACGCGAGCTCGCACCCTTCGGACGCGGACTTGACCTCCGCGGCGATGCGTCTCGTGACCGCGCGCGACATCTGCGACGCCATCGTGCGGCTCCATATGAGCTTATACAGCCTCGCTTCGTCGGAGTTGGCGCCGAGACGCGCGCTGACGGCGTTCGGGAGGAGCTCCGCGCGGATCGGACGAATCGCCTCGTGCGCCTCTTGCGCGTTTTTTTGCGTCTTTTTGTACGCGTTCGGCGTCGCCGGCACGTAGCTCGCGCCAAACTCCTCCGTCGCGACCGCGCGTATCGCCTTCACCGCGTCCGGACCGACGTGCAACCCGTCCGTTCGCATGTACGTGATCAACCCTTCCCCGAACCCTTTCCCCTCGTATAGTTTCTGCGCCGCGCTCATCGTCCGCGCGGACCCGAACCCGAGCTTCGCGTTGGCCTCTTGCTGCAGCGTCGACGTCGTAAACGGCGGCTTGGGTTTCGTCGTCGCCTCCTTCTCTTCCACGGTGGCGACGTACAGCGTGTCCTTCGCGGCGAGGATCTCGTTGGAGACCGCCTCCGCGATCTGTTTCGAATTCACCGCGCCCTTCGCGAGCCGCGCGCCGCTCGCGTCGCGGTGCAGTTCGGCGACGAATCGTCCGGACGCGTCTCCGTCGGATTTTTTCACGCCGCTCGCGCGTTCCAGCCCCGCGACCACGCTCCAGTACTCCTCCTTGACGTGCCGCTCGATCGACATCTCGCGCTCGCATATCAACCGCAGCGCCGCGGACTGCACGCGCCCCGCGGAGAGCCTCTCCGACGAAGGGATCTTCCGCCACAGCACCCCGGAGAGCTTGAACCCGAAGAGGTAGTCCAGAGCGCGTCGCGCCAGGTAGGCGTGCACGAGCTCGACGCTTATCTCCCTCGGTTCTTTAAACGCCTTCACGACCGCGTCTCTCGTGACTTCCGTGAACGTGACGCGAGATATCGCCGTCGGCGCGTCTTTCTTCTTTCGCGACCCGCGCTCTTTGAGCAGCTCGCTGATGTGCCACGCGATGGCTTCGCCTTCTCTGTCCGGGTCCGTCGCGAGCACGACGCCGCCGCCGCATCGCTCCGCGCTCTCCACGATGCTCTTCACGACGCCGCTCTTTCCTTGCAGAGACCATCGCATCGCGAACCCGTCGTCCGGAAGGACGCTGCCCTGCTTCTCCACGAGATCGCGCACGTGCCCGTAGGACGCGAGCACCTGGTACGACTGTCCCAAGTACTTTTGCACGGACGTCGCCTTGGCGGGGGACTCGACGATCACGAGCGTCCGCTCCTTCGCCCCGCCGTCCGCCGCCGCGAGGCGCTCCTCCGCGGCCGCGGACGCCGCCGGCGAACTCTTCGAGACGACGCGCGTCGACGAGCGCGCGGCGGAGAACGCGCTGCCGCGCTCGCGGCTCGCGGACGCGCGCGCGGCCGTCGACCTCGAGCGCGGGGGCTGCCGAGGGCGCGCGCCGTCCTCCGCGCGCGCGGACGCGCCCGACGCGAACGAACGCCATCGCGGCGCGGAGACGGACGCGCCCGTCGGGAAGAAGGAGGACGCGAGGTGGAGCGGACGCGGCATCGCGACGACTCGGCGCGAGGCGAGGAGCCGCCGCAGGCCCGAGCGCATCGCGACCGAGGAGGATGAAAATCCCGCCCCGCGCTCGCCGCCGACGCGCGAACCCGCCGCGCCGTCACCCGCGAACGACGCGCTCGCGAGGGCCCCGACGACGCGCATGCACGAGCGGACGAGAGACGCGACCCGACCCGCCGGCGGGCGCGACGTATCCTGCGGCGCGCAGAGCGCGTGTGACGAAGCGAGTGTGCAATTTAATTTAACACCAAACTCGCTGCCAGCTTGCGTCGTAGACTGAAGTCCAGACCACAACCGCGACGGCTGGCTACGACGCTACACGATGTGCTCGAAATGCTACGCTGCTAACACACGCCGCGAAGAACGCGCCAACCCCCCCCGCGCGACCCATCGCGTCACTTCAACCGCTTTCTCTTCCACTTGAACTGCGCGGGCGCCTTCTTCAAGTGCGCGAGCCCCGGCAAGGCGTCCTCCTCGTCCTTTTCGCGTTTGATTTTCCGCTTGTGCCCGCGCGCGCTCTGGACCTCCTTCTGGTACGCCATCTCCGAGGTCATCATCTTCAGCTTCGCGGCTCGGCTCTCGCGCTCTTTCAGGAGCTGGTACGCGACTCGGCGTTTCTTCTCCAGCCGTTTCTTCAAGCGCGGGTCGAGCTCTTTCGTCTCCGCCGACGCGGCGTCGTCGTCGTCGCCGGCGCCGCCCCTCGCGAGATCGCGACGTAATCCCAGCCCCAGACGCATCTTCCGTCTCGCCGCGGCCTTATCCTCCGCGGCGCTCGCGGGTCCGGGCGTCGCGTCGTCGTCGTCGTCGTCGTCGTCGTCGCGCGCGACCGCGGCGCCGCGCGTTCTCGCCCTCCCGCCGCCGCCGTCGTCGTCGTCGTCGTCGTCGTCGTCGTCGTCGCTCCCGAATTTCACGTGCGTCCGGCGTTTCCTCGCGCCTCCTCCGCCCCCCGCGCCGCGCTCGTCGTCGCTCCCCCACCCGCGCGTCATCTCGTCGTCGCTCTCGTCCTCCTCCGCGAGCCCGTCCGCGCCGACGAGGTGCAACGTCGCCCTGAGTTTCTCCGCTTTTTTCGCCTCCATGGACGCCTTCAGCCCGACGTACTTGACGTCCTGCGTCTTCATCAGACGGAGCTCCTCCGCGGTGTACTTGTTGCTCTCGTCCCCGCGCGCCTGATGCACGCCGTCTTTCGTGCGCTGCTTCTCCATGCCGAAGTAGAACTCGTCCGGGTTTCGATACGCGGCTTTCGTCTTCAGGACTTTGATGGCGTCCTCCTTCTTGTGAAAGTCGCGCGCGCGGAGGACGTAATCTTTCTTCTTCTCGAGGAGGCCGAGCCGCGCGCGCGCCGCGGGCTGCGACCGCTCTTTGTGCGTCTTGCGCTTGACGGCATTGCGCAAGGACGACATGACGCGCGCGGGGGGGGGGGGTCGGGCGTCGGAAAGACGCGAGTCCGAGCTTCCGCGCGCTCGATGTTAATGGCGGCGGCGGGGATTCTCCGAGACCTCGGAAGCGCCCGAAACTTCAGGTGAACTTCAAAAAGTTCCGCTCGCGCTCCGCCGTGACGAGTCCGGCGCGCGCGAGGCGCCGCCACCCCGAGGACGATGGCGCGGCGCGACGCCGCGTCGGACGACGCCGACGCCGACGCCGCCGACGACGACGCGATGGACGTCTCCGACTTCGCGCGCGGCGGCGCGAAGGGCAAGCACGCGTCGACGTCCGCCTCCTCGCACCCGCATCATCTTCATCACGCCACCCCCGACGAGACGCGCAGGTCGCTGCGCTCGCACCGGAAGCACGGCGGCTCCGCGTCCGCGGAGGAGATCGTCGGCGTCTCGCGCCCGGCGTCGCCCGCGATCGACGCGGTCGTCCTCCGAAGGATCGAGCAGGACGTGAACAAGCTCGTGCGACGACGCGCGGAGCGCGCGAGATCGAGAGCGCGAACGCGAAAGCGCGACTCGAAGCACGAGGACATCCCTCTCGAGGCGGAGGCGCGAGGGACCGTGGTCCACACGCCGATGATCGCGACGGGCGGCGGCGGGCGGAAAGGCTCGTTCGCGTCCGTGGCATACGCAGACGAGGAGGAGGAGGAGGAGGAGGAGGAGGAGGACGGCGGGACCAGCGCGAGCGCGTTCACGTCGCCGCCGGGATCGATCGCCGGGTCCGTCGCGTCCGAGCGCGAACGCGCGACGACGCCCGCGGGCGCGGGGGGCGCCGCGTTGCCCCCGCGCGCGCCGCCGCCGCCGCCGCCGACGCACCCGGCGCAGGGTCAAGGGCAGGGCGTGACCCCCGACTCGTTGCGATACATGGAGGTCATGTCGCGGTACCTCTCCACGCGCGGCGTGCACGGGTCGCTCCTGGACGAACTCCGAGAGGAGAAGAGCGCGCTGACGCGGTTAGGCGCGTTCTATCTTACTCTGGTTCCCATACGACCCCGTTCGCGTGGTGAACGCCGTTTCTTAAGGACTTAATCTCCCGGCGCGTCTCTCCGCTCAACCCTCGCTGTCAATCCCCGCCATCGACGCCTTTCGACTCCATCTGACGCCTTTCAACTCCACCCCGACGTCGCTTCGCGCGGACCCTCGACCCTCAGCGGAGGACGCGGAGGACGCCGCCGCCGCGGACGCGCTCGGGATGTTGACGACGCCGATTAAGACGAGACCGAGCGCGCCGCGCGACGAGGCGTCGTCGACGCCGGCGCGGCGGCCGGCGAGGACGCCGAAGACGCCGACGACGCTGTCCCCCGCGGCGACGCCGTTTCTCTCGTCGTCCGCGAAGAGACGCGGCGACGACGGCGGCGGCGGCGGCGCGACGGCGTTCGACGCGAACGCGACCACCCCGGAGGACGTCACCGACTCGCTCACGCGGTCGATCGCGAGCATGAAACGAAGCGCGTCGGTGCCGAACTCGAGCAAGAACGTGTTCGGCACCGCGCTCGTCGCGTCGGACGACGACGACGACGACGACGACGACGACGACGACGGCGGCGGCGCGTTCAGCCGTCGAATCAGCGCGGAGTGGACCGAGGCCGCGCTCGCGAGGGAAAGAGAGCTCGGGAACGTCACGCCGCCGCCCGGGAGCGCGTCCACGCCCGAGGGCTACGCGCGCGTCGCCGCGAGGAACGCGGGGACGTCCCTGAGACGCGCGCTCGAGCGCCCCGCGGAGTACGTCGGAGAGCGGACGTCGTCGACGCTCGGCGATCCGCAACGCGCGGCGGCGGATTTAACCCACGAGCTCGAGACCGCGCTCGGGTCGTGCAAGCGCGCGGTGGACGATCTCGCCCGCGGCGGGCTCGACGCGGACGCCGCCGCCGCGGTCGTGACGCACGGCCGTCTGTCGTCCGTCCTCCTCGAGGAGGTCACCGTGGGCGCGGCGCGCGCGCGAAACGCGCTCGTGAACCTCACCGCCGCGATCAGGTGCGTTTCTCAACTAACCCTCGGTTTCAACATTCATTTGATCGCGTTGGTCCCTTTCAACTGACCGACAACCTTTACAACTACTTTGCCGCGTCAGAGTCGCGTCGGAAACCGAAGCCGCCGCGGAGGAGGCGGCCGAGGAAGCGCACGCGGCGGCGCTCGTGGAGGAGACGGAAGCGTCCGCGATCGAGCTGTTCGCCGCGGAGCACGTCGCGGAGGAAGAGGCGGCGAACACCGCGGCGGCGCTCGTGCGGGCGGCGCACGCGGGCGCGTGGATCGCGCAGCACCTGAGCGTGTACTCGCGGTGGGCGAAACGCGTCGCGTCGTGGGCGGGGAAGCCGCCGCCGCCGCCGCCGACGACGCGTCCCGGAACGCCGCGGGCGGAGAGCGTCGAGACGACGGAGAGGGAGCGCGCGGCGCGGAAGGCGTGGGACGAGACCGGCGGCGGGGGGGGGAGGGAGACGGCGGCGGAGTCGCTTCGAGCCGCGGACGAGACGTACACGCGAGCGATTCACGGCGTCGTGTGCGCGTGGAGCTCGTACATCAGCGCCGCCGCCGCCGCCGCGCCCGGCGGCGAGGGCGGCGAGGACGCCGAGAGCGGGTCCGATTCGAGCGAGGACGAGGACGGAGGGCGGACGCGCTCGGGGGGAAGGCGGCGGCACGATTTCGTGGAGCGCGCGCGGACGTTTCACGCGCGTCGGTCGTTCCTTCGGTCGCTCTGGACGCAAGCGTTCATCGCGCAGTATTGCGTGCAGGGCGCGTTTACCGCGATGCACACCGCGCGCATAAGCCGCAGCTTCACCGAGCACGACTTCCAGGAGCTCATGCGCGCGGTGAAGAGAGTCGTCGCGGTCGCGACGACGGTCGAGTCGCAGCTCCAACGCATGGGCGCCGGCGAGAAGTACGTCGAACGCGACGGCGCGAGAGGAGGGGTCTTCACGCGCGAGTCCACGCCGTTCCCGGAGAACCGCGGCGGCGGCGGCAGCTTGAGCCGCCAGAGCAGCGTGGACGCGGCGGCGGCGCTAGGGGTCTTCGGGTCCCCGCAGAGAGCTGCGGCGGCCGCGACGGCGTCGCCGCCGAGGGAGGCGCCGCCGCCGCGCGCGGCGCTTCCGCCGCCGCCGCCGCAACCGCAGCCGTCCAACGACGACGCGGTCGCGTCCATGGACTTCATCGACGCGTTGTGGCAGTCCGTCTCGCAGGTCAAGACGTTGAAGTACGAAAAGGCGATTAAAATCGGCCGAGGCGGGTTCTCCACGGTGCTTCGAGCGTCGTGGCGCGGCAGCGTCGTCGCTGTCAAGGTTTTAGACCCGAAGAAAATCAACGGCGACGTCGTGGACGCGATACGACACGAAGTGACGGTCATGACCGCGAACCGGCACCCGCACATCGTCACCGTGCTCGCCGCGTGCGTGCAGCTCCCGGACGCGGCGATCATCATGGAACACTGCGCGAACGGCTCGCTCGCGGACGTTTTAGCGAAAGCCCGAGGGAAGCCGACGTCGTTGTGCTGGCGCGTCCGACTTTTGATGGCGTCCGACGCCGCGTGCGGACTCGCGTACTTGCACTCGTCGAACAACCAGATCGCGCACCGGGATCTGAACACGCAGAACCTCCTCGTGACCGGGGACATGCGCGTCAAGATCGCGGACTTCGGTCTGAGCCGCCTCGTCAGAGGCACGCGCGCGAATCGCGACGACGACGACGACGACGACGACGACGACGTGGGTGACGCGGCGCGAAGAAAAGACGAGAAGGACGCCGACGCCAGGACGAGAGAGGCGATGCGCGACGGCCTTCGAAACTGCCTCTTCCACGCTCCGGAGGTCATCGCGTCCGCAGACGCGACCGTTACGACCGTCACGACCGCGACGACGGAAGAGACAGAGTACGACTTCGGCACGCGCGCGGACGTGTTCTCTTTCGGCGTCGTCCTGTGGTGCCTCGCGACGCTCGAGCCGCCGTGGGAATCGATCCAGCGCGCGCACGACGACGCGCCGAGCGAGACGATCCGATTCCTCGGCGTCATGCGCGACGTCGCGTCGCGAGTCGCGCGCGGCGAGCGACTTCCACTTCCCGGCGTGCCCGGCGTGCCCGGCGCGACCGGCGCGATCGGAGCGTCGTCGTCGTCGTCGTTCGAATTTGAATCGACGGGCGACGGCTCCGCGCGCTTAGGTCCGTCGTGGACGCCGGCTTTCGCGGGGGGAGCGCGCGCTCGCGGCGCTCGTCGCGCGGTGTTTCCGCGGCGACCCCGCGACGCGGCCGACGATGACGAAGACGCTCGCGGCGCTGAGGAAGCTCAGGAGGGAGGAGACGGAGCGGGAGTTCGCGGAGGCGCCGCCGCCGGAGGCGTGGAAGGGGTTCATGCCCGCGGGAATGCCGGGGATGCGGCACCTGCGGATCGACGGCGCCGCGGCGGCGGCGGAGGGGGGGGTCGGGGAAAAAAAACCCGGCGGCGGCGGCGGCGGCGGCGGCGGCGGCGCTTCTGGGACGGGCGCGTTCACGACGCGCGAGCTGCGTCGCGTCGCGCTCGGCGCTTCCGCGGTGGGTTTGGTGTTAGGGATCGGCGTCGCGCGCGCGCTGGGACGCCGCCGCTGACGCGAATAGATACAACTTCACGAGACGGCGTTGAAGGTAGTCTAGACAAAGATACGTAGAAATCCTTTCAAAGATAATTGAACCAGAAGTTTTCCGGTTTCAAGTATTCTTTCCCGGTTTCAAGCTTCGCGAATTTTGACCGATGGGCGACGGTTTAGGGTTTGGGTGTTACAACGAGTTGTTACAGCAACGTACACGTCCGATAAGAACGTTCGCGTGCGACCTTTCCCGAGGGAGCGCGCGCTCCTCTCATCACACGCGATCGCGCGTCGACGCTCGCGTCATCATGCCACGATCACGCGCGCTCCTCGCGTGCGTAATCCTCGCCGCGTGCGCGACGCTCTCGTCCGCGACGGACGCGCGCGTCGCGCTCGGGCAAGACGCCGCGCCCGCGCCCGCGCCCGGTGCCCCGATCGAGGCGCCCGCGCCCGCGCCCGCGCCCGATGCCCCGATCGAGGCGCCCGCGCCCGCGCCCGCGCCCGCGCCCGATGATCCGGCGCCCGCGCCCGCGCCCGACGACGCGGCGCCCGCGCCCGCGTCCGACGACGCGGCGCCCGCGCCCGCGTCCGACGACGCGGCGCCCGCGCCCGACGATTCCGCGTCCGATGCTGCGGCGCCCGCGCCTGCGCCTGCCCCCGCGTCCGAGGACGCGGCGCCCGCGCCCGCGCCCGACGCCGCGGCGCCCGCGCCCGCGCCCGACGCCGCGGCGCCCGCGCCCGCGCTCGACGCCGCGGCGCCCGCGCCCGCGCCCGACGCCGCGGCGCCCGCGCCCGCGCCCGACGCCGCGGCGCCCGCGCCCGCGGTCGACGCCGCGGTCGACGCCGCGGTGTCCAACGACACGTCCGCGGTCGACGCCGCGGTCGACGCCGCGGTGTCCAACGAGACGGCGCCGGCGACCGACGCGCCGCCGCTGCCCGCCGACGACATCATCCCCGCCGACGAGACCGCGGCGGCGCCGTCGCCCCCCGCGACCGCGACCCTCCCGAACGCGACCCTCCCCGACGCGACCCCCCCCTCGCCGGATGGCGAAGAAGGCGAAGACGCGGGGCGGTTCCAGATGGACGCGTCCGGGTCGGCGGCGACGACCGCGGCGGCGCCGATCGAGCTCCCGTTGAACGCGCACGACGGCGCGAAAATCCGCGAGCGCGACCACTACCACGGCTCGGCGTTTTACCCCGGCGTCCTCGGATGCGAGTCCACGTGCGAAGGCACCGCCGTGACGAAGGAGGCGTGCGATGCGATGTTCTTCTGCGATTGGGACGACGGAAAGTGCTGGTCTGGCGTCGGCGGGAAGGACTGCCCGGGGAGCAAAGAGGAGATGCACGCGATGATCGCGAGCGAGATGGAGGCGGTGAAGAGCGGCGATTCGTCGCTCGCGGACGACGTGATTCATCATCGCAACGGCGGCGAGGAAAGCGCTCTCGACGCCAACGCGTTCTCCAAGTCTACGACGAACTCCACGACCGACACCATGATGGACACCATGACCGACACCATGACGGACACCATGACGGACACCATGACCGACACCATGACGGACACCATGATGGACACCATGACGGACACCATGGAGGACACTTCCGGCAACTCGTCGTCGTCCGCCTACCTCCCCGTCGAGGACGTGGACTACCACCCGATGAACCACCACTTGGACGAACTCCCGGCTGGATTCTCCCAGGCACTCGAGAGGCACATGCACGTCACCGACGGCGCCGCGTTCATCACAAACTGCGGCATTCCGCAAGACATCGTGGATTACCTCGGCAAGGACCCCGCGAAGATCGAGACGCTCGGGGCGTGGATGAAGTCGCATAAGGACTACAAAGACTTCCGCGCGAGCACGGACCTGAAGGAGATGGAGGCAGCGTGGACCGCGTCCGGGGGGAAGTCGTGCCACCCCGCCGACGACCACGACTGGGACGCCGCGTCCGCGCCCGCGCCCACTCCGGGACATGAGGCGGACGTGAACGCGGCGATCGAAGAAGAGGCGGGGGCGGTCGCGCCCGCGTCCGGTGGCGCCGCGACGGCGCACTTCGAAGCCGCCGCGCCCGCGGCTGACGTCGCGGCGCCCGCGCCCGCGCCCGCGCCCGACGACGCCGCGCCCGCGCCCGCGCCCGCGCCCGACGACGCGGCGCCCGCGCCTGCGCCCGTGTACGACGACGCGGCGCCCGCGCCCGCGCCCGAC